AGACTATTCAAAAGGAGAGAGGGTTGTTAACACCTGTGGAACAAAGAGTTTAGAAGTAATCAGGTAGATTATAAAGAGTCATTAAGTCAATTAACTCCCTCACTGGTGCCTGAATAGAAATGCTGCCGCCACCACCACCAGGCAGTTGGTTTTAAATTTTGGGTGAAGCAGGAATCAGTGGGGTGCAACTGCAACCCCCTGGATCTGCCCCTGGTGGCAGGCAACTTGGGTGACAGTGGCTTGACCACAAAGCAAGAACTCAAAAGCTCTAAGCTGAAGAGCAGCAGAATAAAGACACTGGACTTCAGAAAAGCAAATTAACTCAAGGAACTGGTGGGCCGGATCCCTTGGGAAGTGAGTTTGAGTGGTAGAAGAGTCCAGGAGAGCTGGCATTAAGGGCACAGGAGGAACAAGCTATCCTGATGAGATGGAATGTGAAGTACAACAGAAGGCTAGCCTGGCTAGACTGCAATCTCTTCAATGAGTTGAAACCCTAAAAAGGAATCCTACAAGAAGTGGAAACTTGGTCATAGTCCTAGAGAAGAGCATCTCATGGGCACAAAGGGAGAAAACTGAGGTGGCCAAGGTATGATTTGAGATGCCACTGGCAAGGGACATAAAAAAGGTAATAAAAAAGGGATTCTGTGCATCAAAAAAGAAAGATGACAGCCACAGAAACAATAAGCATAAGGCAATCCAGTTACAGATGATGCAGAGAAGGCTGGAACCAGCTTCCAAGTGAGGTGGTGCAGGCTCCCACCCTGGGGGTTTTTAAGAGGAGGTTGATGACCACCTTACTGGGGTCGTTTGACCCCAATACTCTTTCCTGCCATGGCAGGGGGTTGGACTAGATGATCTGCTCAGGTCCCTTCCGACCCTAGAAACTATGAAACTGTATTGAATACTTTTTTTTTTTTTTTTTTTAAACTTCAACCTTCACAAATAGGGGTAGCTAGCAGATGAATGCAGTTGGCAGCAAAGACAGGGAAGGAGACAAACAACCTAGAGTAATAGTAGAACAGGTTAGGGATTACTTAGAGAAGCTAAATTCTTTCAAATTGGCAGGGCCAGAAGGGATGCACCCTACAGTACTAAAAGCAATTGGCTGATGTAATTTCAGAGTTATTAGCTATCCTTTTTGAGATAGCCAACTTGGGGGGCAGGGGTCTGGTAAGGTCCTACATGATTGGAAAAAGGTAAATATAGTGTCCATCTTCAAGAAAGATAAGAAGGAAGACCTTGTGAATTACAGACTAGTCACATCCTGACCTTGATACCTGGAAAGATCATGGAGCAGGTACTCAAGGAATCTGTTATGAAGCACCTAGGAGAGAACAAAGTGATCAAGAACTGCCAGCATGGATTCTCCAAGAGCAAGTCATGCCTGACCAAGCTGATTTCCTTCTAGGATAGTGTGACAGGCTCTGTGGGTGAGGGAGAGCAGTGGATGCAATATACCATCGTTGTAGCAAGGCTTCAATGAAGACACCGTTTCCCACAACATGCTCATCAACAAACTAAGGAAACAGAGACTAGATGAAAGTACTATAAGGAAGATACATAACTGGCTAATGTCTCATCTCCTCCTAACTAGACATTAAGTGGGGTTCCCCAGGGGTCTGTCCTGGGTCTGGTACTGTTCAACGTCTTTAATGATCTGAATGATGGGACTCAGTGCACATTTAGGAAATTTGTGGATAACATCAAGTTGTGGAGTTGCAGACACTGAGGAGCCCGGGCTATGATCCAAAATGACTTGGATAGATTGGAAAAAAAGGTCTGCAATCAATCAGATGAGATTCAACAAGGACAAAGTGCAGAGTCCTGGACTTGGGATGGAATAATTGCATGCACAGATACAAACTGAACAACGATTGGCTAGGCTTCAGTACTGCAGACATGGACTTGCAAGTTACAGTGGACCATATACTGAATACAAGCCAAACCTGTGCTCGTTGCAAAAAAAAAAGCCAACAGCATATTGGCCTGTATCAACAAGTCACCTGCAAATCAAGGGAAGCAATTATCCTACTCCACAATTCTTCCATTCTATTTGGCACTGATGAGGGCACATCTGTAGTACGGTGTCCAGTTTTGTGCTCCACACCAAGAAGTATGTGACCAGACTGTAAAAAAGCGCAGATAATCAAAAGTGACTAGGGACCTGGGAAGCAAAATTTAAGAGGAAAGGCTGAAAGAACTACAGCTATTTAGTCTGGAGAAGAAAAGACTGAGGGGGGATGGGATTTGATAACAATCTTCAAATGCCTGAAGGGCAATTACAGAGAGGATGGAAATGGGCTTTTGTCCATGACTGCATGGGACAGGACTAGGGGCAATGGCCTCAAACTGCAGCAGAGGAAGTTTTGCTTGGAAGTTAGGATGGTCAAGCACGTTGGAGAATCTCCATCCTTGGAAATTTTCAATAGCAGGTTAGACAGACACTTGGGGCTGGACTAGGTGACCTTGTGAGGTCTCCTCCAGCCCCACTTTCCTATGCCTTTAAGATCAGGAATATTCCTGCTAAAAATGCACTCAGTTATGTTTGAATTACGGCTGCTTGGCTTCTTTGGCCAACAATATAGTTTACAGGAAGTTATTTAACAACCCATCTCATGTCCATCCCTTCACATTCTCAGACTTCCTCCCTATCCCAACCAGAAGCCAATATGTCCCATTGATCCAGGGATGGCGATGGTTGGAGCAAAAGCTAAAGCAAAATGCCAAATGCTTTTTTATATAGCTATATCATGAGACAAAAGTAGGTTGTTGCCTGCAAAAGCTCATGCCTCTCTGAACTAGTCTCCCAGGTGCCACGCTGCCCTACCTTCTGCCTTTCACAGGTGAGTCCATGAAAACCATAAAGAACAAAGCAAGATTTCCCTCCTTAGGGTAAGCACGATGATATGCATTTGTCTACAAATGTAATAGGTGAAACATCTCTGGAATGTCTCCTTGTGAACTTCTGAAAAGGAAGTTCTCACTTCTATTTTACTACCTTCCAGATTGCTGTATATTTGAAAAAGCGGTCAATCTGTTCTGCTTCAGTGATGAACATCAGGAAATAGAAACACCCATTTAGATAGAAGCGCATATACAAAGACATACTTTTCCTGGAGTGTATGAATTACTGAACAGCCCCTAAGTATTGTCTAACAGGATATTCTCTTTCAGTATGACAAAGTTCTATTCTTCTAAATGAGCAAAATATAGTAACACCCACCAAGCTAACAACTTCACATTTGGTTTATCTTGTTTGCTCATAATGGCATACTTCCTGCCTGGATCTGCTGAACACTGGTTAACACCCACTTTGAATCCCAAACCTAATAATAAAATTTTCCATTACTGCCCATCTCAATGCATGGTCTTCTGGAAGATAAAACCAGAGCAATTTGTTATCATCAATAGGCCTGGTTAACTTATGCAGTTAAAATCAAAATTCCCATCTTTTACAGTTGAATTGTAAAGTATGAACTGCCTTATGTACCTGTGAAGTCAGCTTTAAGTTCTGACCAAATGAGGCACCTAAATACAGAAGGGTTTAATCCAAAACTTTCTAAGCAAGCCCACATGGCCCACTGGGCCCAAAAGGGGGTCACAAGAATATATAGAAAGGTCATGAACAAACCTAAAAAATGGATCAAACTTTAAAAATGGATTGGAGGAGAAAAACATGGAAAACGTGGGTTTCCTCTTGCAGGCAGCTCCTTACAGGTAAGTCTGTGGTGGGGAGGGGGACACAATATAGACAATGTGTCGGGGAGGGGAGGGGAGGCACTGCCCTCACCTCCTTTCACTGACAGCTGCTTGTATGGCCAGGCTTCGGCTCTACCCTGCCACTGCCTCTCCCCTGAAGGTGAGATGGGGTGACAGGTAGCACAGGTGGAAGCTGGGCCACAGGGGGTTATAGGTTGGGAGCGAGGGGCACCAGCAGGGCCAAGGGGTTGTTTTCTACTTAAACTATTTACTGGCTCAGGACTGACCATCGATGTTTACAAATGGGTCGTGGTACAAAAAAGGTTGAGAACCACTGCTATAGCCAAGAGCACACAAGGGAATAAATATCATTTTGCATCAGAATTTAAATTCAGATTGATCTCACCTCAAAACCACTGTTACATACAATAGAAACAATGTGGAAGTTCAATGTCTACGTGTTTAGAAGCTATTGAACAAGATGATTTGTTTCAAAGCTTCTTTCAAAGTTCTAATAAAAACTGCACATTTATTAATTAGAGCCCCTTCCATTTAAATGCAATGCTACCAAACTTCACATAGAAAAACTTACAGCTTGCCAAACACGCACCTGCTTCACAAGTCAGAGGATCTAGAGATATTACATGTAAGTGTAGATGTTTCATTACTTCATGACTCCATAATCTTTTATATAGCTTTTACCTAAATAGTTTTGCCTTCTACAGACATAAGGTACATACTGCAAAAAAACAAGCTTTTAAAAGTCTGATACCTTAGACTGTTTGGTTTCTACAGATTAAAACAGGTCTACTGCTTATACACTGTGCATGTAGAAAACATACCCTTGTGACACCTGTCATAGTAGCACTGAAGAGTTAAATTGCACAGTTGGATTCAATATTATCAGTGAAAAGGAGATTTAGTATATCTGCAAGTTAAAGCCACAGCTTAAACTTAACATTTAAAGTTGCTATGACCTCTTATTTATTCCCCCCCCAAACATAACACTGTACTTTCCTAAAACACCTATGAGGTTCGATACTTATTCTGCCCAACAAGCAGAGAAATACATCTATGATTTATTTCACCTAGAAAACAGCAGTGCCAGAAACATTCAACTGTGATTTTTCAGGGTATTTTTGTACCACTTTTGTTGCGTTTTGTTTTTTTAAGCCACATCCATCAAAGAAAGTTAACTGTGAAATAAGCCAAAAGAAGAACATATGGGGCTTATGCCTGCCAGAAAAATCCCTAATAATTCATGGAAAACTAATAGCTAAAAGGAGGAAAGACAATCTTACCTTAACAGGAAAGCTGCATTTACCAGTGCGAACTCCTTCTTCATCCGTCTGCCACTGGTGAGGTCTGCTGGCCTCTGGAACATAGACATCTTTCTTTCTCCTAAAACTTTGCCGTAATTTGTTCATTTCTCAGGCGTTTAATGTCCTAAAGATAGACACATATTTCAGCAGATATTAAAATGTAAGTTTTGGAAGTTAAGACCCACCAATAATCGCCACACATTATTATATAAAAATGTTGTACTTCTGCAGTAATAGACCTCTCACTGAAAGTAAAAGCAGCCAAGTAAGCAGTATACTCAACTACCCAGATGCAACTTTAGGTAGGCTAAATTAGAGCGAATCTAGAAGCAAACTTAAAAAAAGGGGTCAAAGATATGGCACCCATGCTTCTCGAGATGCCCTTCTCCCCTCCAAAATATTTCTCTTTGATCTACCAGATGCTGTAGGATGCAAAGAGACAGAATCCAGGAAGGATCATGACCCTTGCACATGCCTCATCAGGCTGAACATGGGTGCTGCATAAGAAGCGTGTGTTTAGAGTACGAGTACAAGAGCTGATAGGATTTTAATGAACTTGATTTCAAGAGTAGCTTGAATAAAGTGCCATATTAAAAACTTCTATGGGGAAGCCTTCAGACATTCTTCCTTTCCACTTACAACTAGACCCAGACCTATGTGGAAAGCGATCAGCATACTGCACTTTTCACTGAGCCTGATAACTGAGCAGCTTCACTCATGAAACACAGCTATTACAAAATTTAACTGCAGGATGGGATTATATAGAAGTCAAAGTAACTTTCTATCCAATCCTGAATTCAGCAGACTGGAAGTAGAAGAAAACATCAACTTTACCTGCAATAATTAAAGCATTCTGGCCATTTCGTGCGACACAAAAGCCCAAGTTTTGTCACCAACTCCCCAGCAAGCTCTGGGCAATTGTCATTTTTTGTCCTTGTTATAAATTATGGCAAGGGAGTAAGTCAGTTCCCTATTGTTTGACAGAGGTGTGGTGATGTTAAAGTCAAAGGCAGACAAAAGGAAGGAAGTTCTGGACTGTCTGCCAGTTCATGTCTCTCGCATTCTCTATCTACCTCCACTATATCATTCAAAAGTGGGGCTGTTTATTATTCAAAATAATCAGAGACAGAATCCCTGCTAAAGACAGAACCATTAAATATCGCTAAAACTGGGAAATTTAAAATGATGTGATGTTAGTTTCTGCTGAAATGCTAACGAAAAATACTACTCGAGTAGGATAACTCAGAAAAACACTAAGCATAATGTCACACAGATTTCTAACAATGTGGGAGAGCCTTTAAATTATAAGGAAATTTTTAAGTTGTTTCTATGTTCACTTTAACAAAATCCTAACAAAATGTTAAGCAAAAACCTAAAATTTGGGCCTGAGTGCTCAAGAATATGCCTTTAGTGTAATTAAGTATTTGACATGCTAAAAATAAGCTGCAGGTAAAATAGTTTAAAAGAGTGAGACTATTAGTTGTGCACAGCTAACATGTTTGCTTCTGGGCAGACGTAATGCCTCACAGCAGTCTCCTAAGACTTTATAAGCAGTATAAAAATGGCTTCCTTCTTCACATAGAATAGTTTCTCTCTATATCAACCTGTATTATGCTGACCCAAGAAGATAAATCTTGAATTCTCACATACCAGGAAGTATAGGAAAGGAAAGAACATAAGCACAGAACTAAAATTTCTGTAACTGATTTACAGCTTTGTTCCATTACTAACACATTGTTATACTCAGAGGAAGGTACACACTAATGCCTGATATAATTAGTATTTTAAATATTTTTATCCAAGTGGCTAATAGGCAGAACGAGGGTAGCATACCTTCAACACCTACATGTAAAGAAAACACATCTCTTATAACAAATTCAGCTGACACTGACAATGTCAATCCTTCTAAGTGAACAAAAACTCCATATTCATGGAGTCTAATGCACGAGTTGAAAGTTATTTGTATTCAAAAGGAAAAGGGGGGGGTATGTAGCAATACTAAAAGTATCAATTTTTGCTTTATAGATGAAGCTTGCTTGGGGGAAAAAAATAGGGATTTTGAATATTCCAGCCTAGAGAGCTTGAAAGAACAAACTCAACAGAAGCTGGGCATTTAGATTCCTTCTGTCTCCCTTGAAAGTCAGCGTTAACAGCTGCATGTTTAGGGATAGTATGAGCAGCAGACTAACTATGAAACATGAGCAAACCTGGCTGAAAGTTCTCCCAATTGAATTACTTTTGACAGAAGTTTGGTTTCAAGCAGCCAGATTCTGCAAAAAGTCTTTCTTCCAACATTTCAATCTTCCTAATAGCCCAGAACCCAAAATATTTCAGTTCCAAAATGAAGTGTTTGAATTTGGATACACCATCACTGCATCTAATAAAGGAGACATAGTTCAGTTGCATTATACCCACACACTCCTCCCTGGACCTTGCTTCTCAGACTTCTCCCATGATGCACTGCTTCTCTACCTGCAGAGAGACCTTGCACCTGGGAGCACAGCCTACAGGGGAGAAAGAACATCATGTCCCTGAACTCCTGTGATGAATAGTGGTGGCATTTTGGCCAAAATATGTTTGCTTTGGACTTTCTGTCAAAATATCAATGTTTTCTGTGGAAGAACAATCCCATTTTCCAACCAGTTTTGGTTATCATCAGGTTGTGCTGACAACTAAGTTTCAATAACTGAAACAGACCCTTCAGAGAATGATGAATGACCTACATAGGATTCATTTCAATTCAAGTAGTCTGAGGCAACAGCTTGTTTCAACAGAAAAAAAAACCCCTCAGTGGGGCCACTAAAGGAAGCTGAGCTGTCAGGGGATTTGGACAATAGTCCAAATAAATATATCCTAAAAGCCTAATTGCTGGAAAAGTACATATCATCCCCAAACTAAATAGAAGTCCCATCAGACACGGGAGGTGTTAATTAAACAATTCACACCAGTTACATATTTGGAAATAAGGGATAACACACACATGGATTGCTGGCTACTGTGACAGAATACTAAAATTCCTCTGAAGAAGTTTAGAAATGCTAGCATAAAAATAAGCGTTACAGAAATTTAGCTGAAGGCTGAACTTTTGCCACTTCAGTCATATGATAATTCCTGGAGTTTTCAGCCATGCGCCCAAATACACTGACAGACAACACTTCTAGGCTAGCTAGCTAGCTACTGGTTTATGTTCTGTGCCAAATGGATTTGTGTAGTGATGCTGTCACTTCAATGGCTTTTTACTACTTCTTGGGAACTATAATGGCTCAAAAGTAATCCATTATTGATTTTTTCCTGTATTTAGCATGTCAAACATTTTGCATTTTTAAAAGTTCCAAACATTAAAATCAGCTATTTCCCACCAGCTGAAACAAAGTACCCTACTGGTCTCAGCCAGAACACAGGACAATGGAAAGAAGATGCATTTTGTTTTAGACAGTGATTTTTTTTTTTTTTTTTT